CCAATCCAATGAGCCTTGAAGCAGCTTAAAAGAACCCAGAGGAAAACAAAGGGAGGCTTGGGAGGCAAAAACCATATGACTTTGAAACAGTTGGTTGCCATGATAATTTTAAACGTGAAATGACGACAAAGGAAGGAAACATCTCTCAATCGATTCAGTAGGTTTACACAGAATTGGTGGTGGTGGGGGTGGTAAATGTATGGGGTGAGGGGAATCAGGATGATAAAGGGGTAGGGGTGGCTTGTGAAAGAAGCGTTCGTTTAAGCACATGGAAGATTTCCGATTCTTTAATTTCTAGGCAATTAGAAAAAACTTCAGCATAGCTAAGAGAGGGAAATAGTTAGGAAACCTGGCAAAGTTCTTTGTTTTATGTTTTTGTTTGCTATTTTGGGGGTTGACCCTGCACAAAACCTGAGAAAATACAAAAGGTGGTTATGTGTGTTCATACACTGAGGAACCAATAGAAGCACAGTCAATGAACATAAAACAAAAGATGTGCGGGGTCAAGGACCTTCCCACATAAATCTTAGCCGTTTGTTTGCTTCTTTGATGTTAACCGGCCTTCTTAACCATTTCCCTCTATTAACTATGACTTCAGCGAACAGTCGGATGACGTGGAGCATTGATATGACTTCAGTGTAAGATATTTTTTCTCACTTTTTAATCTATCGTCACGCATTCATCAAGAGCTAACAACAGTGACAATAATCGATAGACTATACAGAAAGGATATCATGACTTCTTCCAATATTTCGGAAATGAATCATTATTTGTTTTATCACACATTACTATCTAGCAAGACTAACAAAGCTTAATGGTTTCTCCACTTCCATTGCGTTCGAGAGCAACATAATGATATCATGGCGTGATATCATGACGGAAGAGCGAAATTCAGTGAAACAGATGTCTTTAAATGTAAGGTTTGAACACCTGCTTCTATCCAAGTTTTACAAACCAATTTATCTGACTTATACCTTTCCAAGAAACAAAATACTGTATTTACCCCTTCTCTTAATACCGTGAAATTAAATGTAAGTCAAGGACAGAAAAAAAAGATCTTATCTCTGTTCTGAATGATGTAAATTGATTGGTACATTACGAGATGGGAAAAAGGAAAAACAAACAAACTTGA